ATTTCTGAACATGAAGATCTTCCATTCCACTCTAGGTAGTTGCCCCAGCATCTGGTAGTAGAGTTGTCTGATCATGCTTCATTTTTCTTGAGCCATTGTCTGACTTAGGTCCATTATATCCCTTTCTCCAATCAGCTTTCTGACCAGCCAAGAAGCCTATTGAGGAATTGGCATGTCATCTAGCTGTTGGTTTTTTATATAATAGGAATGGATCCACCTAACCCACAGCTTGTCCACCTTATGTGCAAGATCCCAGTGATTTTTAGCAACAGCAGCCTTATTCCAAAGTTTCAGGTTGATGAGGTTTAGTCCTCCTGCACTCTTAGGTGTACACATTTTCTCCCAAGCCACAACTGATCTTCTTGTGATAACATTAGAATCAGACCATACATAACTCCTACAGTAAGCCTCTATTATTTTGAGAACTTTGCTTGGGGATTAAGAACAGCTGTGACCAATAAGCTTGTATACCAAACAGGATTGATTGTACTACCTGAATCCTTCCTGCATAAGGCAATTTTTTGATTGTCCAGGAGGAAATTCTAGCTACCATTTTCTCTATCAGAGGTTGCCAATAAGCTAAGGGCATCTTCTTAGTTGATAAAGGCACTCCTAAGTATTTTACTGGGAGTTCACCTCCGGAGTAACCAAATCTTTGTTGCATCACATCTTTCACTGCTTGTGTAACACCTCCATAGTAGATAAAACTCTTAGTCTGATTAGCTTGTAGTCCTAAGGCTCTATAAAATTGGTTAAAGCATTGTTGAAGCTGAGTAACAGAAGGTATATCACCTCTTGCAAATAGGAGCAAATCATCAGCAAAACTGAGATGTGTAATACCTAGCTTTGAACATCTAGGGTGAAATTTATACTCCTTCTCCTTTTGCAATCCCTTGAGACTTCTACTCAAGTACTCCATTACAATATCGAAGAGGAAAGGTGAAATGTGATCGCCTTGTCTCAGTCCTTTAGCTGATGGGAAAGGAACTGAAGGTTCTCCATTCACCACAATTGAGTAGCTCACAGTCTTAACACAGGTTAGAACCCAGTCTTGAAATCTTCTAGTGAATCCTAGCTCAACCATGACAGGCTCCAAAAACTCCACAGAATCATAGGCCTTGGTCGGGTCTATTTTGATCATGCATCTAGGAGAAGTATTCTTCCTTGTGTAAGCTTTGACAAGCTCATGAGCCAAGATGATGTTGTCTGCAATTTTCCTCCCAGGAATGAAACCAGCTTGTGCTTCACTAATGATGTTTGCTATAACTTTTTGTAATCTATTTGCCAGCACCTTTCAAATGATCTTATAGAGTATTGAGCAGCAGGCAATAGGTCTAAATCTCTTGCTGTTATAGGATTGCTTACCTTAGATACCAGTGTAATTGCAGTGCAATTTATGGCTTTATATAGCTTCCCAGTAGTGAAGAAATGCTTAATTTCTCTCACTACATCATTTTTGATCATTGACCATGCTCCTTTGAAGAAATAAGATTTATATCTATCCACTCCAGGGGCCTTATCTTCATGTATTGCACACAATGTTGCATATATCTCTTCCTCTATTACTTCCACACATAAGCTCAAATGTTGTTCATGAGTGAGTTTAGGTCCATTGTAGTTTCCTTGTTGATAGCAGGCAAAGATGCAGCAGCAGTTCCCATCAAGCTCTTATAAAATTTAACTATTTCCTTCTTAATGCTATTAGGAGTAGCCAGTTTCATTCCACCATCAGTGTAGATCTCTAGTATCTGCTTTCTTTGACTTCTCTCCTTCATGACAGTAGAGAAGTACTTAGTATTGGCATCTCCTAGCTTGATCCATTACACTCTAGCCTTCTGTTTGAGGATATTTTCCTCAATAAGTGACCATTTCTCCAAGTTCTTAGGATAGTCGTCTCTTATAGTAGCAGGTTATCTGAATATTGTATCCTCATTTCCTTCTGAACTTGAATAAGATCAGCCCTGGCATTCTCAATTCTCTCAGTAATGCCCTTATACTCATTAGTATTAAGTCTTTTGAATAGAGGTTTCAGAGCTTTTAGTTTCTTCCAAATGTTCTCCATTTGATCATCAGCTTCCTTTCTTCTCCATAGATTGCCAACAATTATATCAAACTCATCATGGGAGGCCCATACATTAGAAAACCTAAAAGGAGTTCTAATGTTAAGTTTCACAGTTTTTATATTGACAAGCATTGGTGAGTGGTCAGAGATTAAAGGTGTATCATATTCTGTGTGCACATGACCCCAGTTCATTATCCAGCTATCATTGCCATATGTCCTATCAATTCTGCTCACAATCCTTTCTGCCCCCTGTTGATTATTGGACCAGGTGTAATAGTATCTCTTCCATGGTAGTCCATTCAGTAAAGATTGTGTATGCAATCAGAAAATTCAGTAATTCCATTCAGTGTCACATGGTTGCCATACATCTTGTCTTGTGTATATAGCATAGCATTAGAATCACCACCTATCAGCCATGATTTGTTTGTGTGTGCAAAGATATCAGCCAGACTTGTCCATAACTCATTTCTTTGATCAACTGTATTGAAGTCATATACTAATGTTAGATATGATTCAAATCCATCCAATCTGCCTTTAACTAGGCAATGTATAATCTGAGCCTCCACTTTTTCAACATCAACACTGTACACATTTGGATCCCAGGTGAGCCATATTCTGCCATTCATAACTTTCTGGTAGTTTCACTACAATGCCCATCCTGGTAATATGTTTTTGATAACTCTCTTCACATTTGGTTCTTTAACTCTAGTCTCAAGCAATCCAGCTAGTTTGATATGTTTATTCTTCATGTATGTTTGTATCTCTTGTTTACACCCCTAACATTCCACACCAACCAAGTCATTGAGATAGGGAAGGAGGCCTACTTTCTGTAGTAGGCAGGTTCTTATTGCTTCCTAATCCACTTGTTATCTCTGATGTTCTATTTTTCCTCTGCATGCTAGCTGCCGGAGCTGGAAATTCTCTAGGACAACTATGTTCAGGGCTTTTATGTTCTTGCTCCTCCTCTCTGATGCTTTCCTTAGCAGGTCCCCTAGTGATTATCTGGTGCTCCCTGACAAGCAAAGTCATTTGCCTTTGTCCAGCTTCCTGTTGATAATGTTCATCAGCTGTGGCTTTGGTAGTCACCATAACCTCAGCTGCCTTACCATTCTTGTCTACAACTTCTTTTGTTCTCCACTCATGCATCACCTTTGGAGGTCCAACCTCTGTATGTGCTAGCAGGGCATTTTATTTAGGTCTTCTCCTTCTCCGTGGCTGCATAAAGTTCTGATTCTCAACTTCTTTTTGCTTGCAGCAGTGACCTAATTTTTAAGCAAACCTTACAGAATTTTGGTTTCCAATCATATTCAATCGTTTGTTCAAAATTGTCTCCCATTTGGTTCCCACACTAAGACACTAGTAGGAAGTGGCCTTGTAACATTTATTTCAATGAGCACGCGAGCATAGGAAATCATTTTCTGTTTTGAGGTACACACTCAGCATACAGTGGTTTTCCTATTGCACTAGCAAATCCTACTCAGTGATTTTCCTCCCCAGTAACTCATGGGTAGGTTTGGCAATACCACCCACAGGGAAATTTCCTGCAGGAACTCCTTTGTGAAATCAAAATTTACAGTCCGTGGCTTCAATATCATCAGTTTATTATTGATTGTATGAGGCCCAGAATATAAGATTTCCTGCATGTCACTTGTAGACTGAAATTTGATAACATAATATCCTTCATCATGGTAAAATACCTCTGGTTCAGCCATTCGATTCCAATTCTGTTTCAGAAATCTATGCATATAGTTATACCCAGTGTCTCTCCAATTACATACACAATCAGTGCATTCTTCCATTTTTGGATTTCTCTATCAACGTCATCCTTTTCCAGTTGAACTACAACTTTCCCCTCAACAATTGCAGGAGGAATGTAATCTAATTTTAAACCATTTTCTGAGCTACGATTACCTGCAAAGAGGGATGTCCATGCAATTGATTTCTCCTTGTTCTCAATTGTTGGTTCCAGATCTGAGATGCCCTTACTTGTACGCCTGATTTGTTGACTTCACTAGTGAAACCTCATTTCGCACACTTAGATATGGGGTAGTACTCAGGTTCAGTCTCTTAGCGGTGTGCTGCACACTCGATTCCACTTGTTTCTACTTCAAATTTGACTCAAGGAATGGAACAGGATTTAGTCGCCGATTGTGCCAACTTTGGTTTTTCCGATTGCATGTGAGCTTCAGCTGCTTTACCTATAGTAGCTAAAGGTTGCAACCTCGGTCGTCCATGAGCCCGACCTCTTCCCCTAGCCATAACCACGGTAGGCGTACGTTTAACTAACGTGCACTGAGGGCATGAGAGCTAGAGAGAAAAAGCAGACTTTGTAGCTAATATTCTTTTCAAACATATTATAGTATTTAAACAACCTCATATGAATCTCATTGTCCAAGACCTCTTGTGTCAAGATAAAAAAACTCATACTTGTCTTGTTATTTGTTAAATTCCTTTTCCCAAAGGCATGAATGAATTCTGGATTGTTTAAAGCTCTAGACCTTTTTTTCTTTTTTGGTTAAAGCTCTAGATTCATTAACCAAAAAAAAAAGCACGTTACAATAGAAACATCCGCCATTAGCAATATCCCTTTTTCATAATTTTTCCTCATAATTGTCTTACCATTTTAAATTGTATATTACAAGATTGAATCTCAACCATAGAAAACGTGGGTAGACACGTGGCAAGAATCAGCAATGCTATCGAACATTACTGGACATAATTTCACTGGAGGGGGATCCTTTCCCGCTTTAACTAGCCCAGCACAAAGCAGACAACAGAGACATGCTGAGGAAAGCATAACTCTTCCGTGTACACAGTGTGTGGGTGTCGATGTGGGAGGATATTGCAACTGTTAAAATTCATATAATCATCTTGTTAATCAGAACAACCTCTATTCTCAGTGCAGCTATGAAATAACTGGACTAAATCACACATCTAGTTAAGGCTAAAACATGTAATTTATTTCATGGCAGGAGATAAGATCATCATCCACAAGCAAATTCATACTGAATTGCATGAATAATTCAGAGTTCTGAACATAGCTTCTTAGAAGGAGGAACAGGGGGAATACGGAGGCAGAAGGCCTTTTCAGTTTTAGTATCCTATGTTCAAAATTCTACAAAACTTGATGAATGACGCACTGGCAACTTGCAGTCAGATCTTCTTACTGTTAGGACATAAAATAATCCCGCACTCAAAACCCATTACTTTGGTAGGAAGAAATGGATTTTCACATCGGTATATAATCAAAACTATTTCCGGTATCCTACCAAGCCTAAAGTTTGAATATAAACCAACATCAGCTGATGATCACCTTGTTCAGAAATTCAGCTTGCTCAGGAAAGTATTCCAACAGCTCATCTTTTGTCACCCAGACAAAATCATCACACTTCCTAATATCAAATTTGTTGGTTGCAATAACTTGGGATTTGAAGAAGAAGCGCTGTCACAATAAATATAAAATAAATATATTAGAAGCACATACACCTTGCAGAAGCTATCAGGGAATTTCCCTCCCTCCCTCCCTCCCTGACTGCTTGTGGATTGAAATAATTTCTAGACTGTTCTTTTCTCCACTACTTTAATCATTAAAATGCCCATACCTTAATTGATGGAATTTCCTTATCTTCAGTGGGTTTTGTCACCATATGGCCCATGGGGGCATTTCCAACAAAATATGTATGTGAAAGATCTCCAATTACAGATTCTAGGGCAGACTCAGCACACTGCAAATAGTTGCAACTTATATTTCATTTTCTAACACCAAATTACTGAAATTCCTAAGGAAAAAAATTGAATAATACTATAGAAGTAGTTACCTTGCGCAGGGTCTCTTCAGACTCATAAACTTTTTCTGGAAAATGCCAGACAGGCTTTCCACTATGAGAGCCATGTGTGGTACCATGAACAAGAAGATAGAGTCTCCTGTCTAGTGCTCGCTGTAATGATCTTATACATATCAACAAAATCTCATAATCAGTAACATGAAACACTAGCCAGCGGAAGGAAATAAACGCTGTGAATATCTATCGATTCAGGCAAATGCCTTTGGATATTGGAGACCAAAGCTGATTAAACTACTTCCGGCCCGGTAAGATCAGATTTCTAGAACGGCAGCGTATTCAATCAAACGGGTGATTTTCTCTAAAACAACGTGAAAAGAGGGTTAGTACCTTTTAGCAAATTTTGACTTAGTGATGAGTTGATGAACGGAGGCAAGCTTTGTTGCTGGGAGAGGGAATGCATTCAAACGGGAAGGATGAAGGCAATGGACAATAGCTCTCCATTCTTAACTTTATATACTTAATGAACACATTCAAAAGGAAAGGAAAAAAGCAATGGACAATAGCTCTTCGTTCTTAATTTCAAATACTTAATGTTCAATTAGACAAATCCCAAGTAACTATCACATCAATTAGTTCTAATCAATATTAAGGCACTTCAACTTCAGAAATTTGGTTATGGTAAACTGTAAACAATTTAGAAGTCAACAATTACCTATTGTCAGGAAATGGTGAGTCTGCTGAATTTAGGTAAAGCAACTCTTGAATAGAAAAAAGATCTTCTAGTGCAATGTACATATTCAAATTCTTGTAAAATATTAGACAAAGTTATAAGTCTAAGCTTGGTACCTTTGATCATTAGCTTTATCAGCCTCTGAGATTCGAGGAGCTGGTTTATAATCAATTTGATAATCACCTTTTCCCCTGCACATAAATATAGATGTTACTGTAGCCGTTGACCATGTGGCATTTGACAATAGACAGAAAGGTCAAAAACTAGATAGGACGGTATGTGATATGTCATGGGCGGCTTTCCAGCCATGCCCCATGACCCCTTGGGCGCGCCCCGTGGCGTCCTAGCAAGTCTTCCAATGCCTAGCGCCACGGACGGCCCCGTGGTCTTGGCCGCGCCAAGTGACAAGCGCGCAGGTGCCTCTGTCGCCCCAGCGATATCCCTCGCCAGCGCCAAGCCGCAGACAGATTCCAACAGCGTCGCGCGCGCAGATAACGCTGCGCGCGCAGACCGTGATGCCAAAGACAATGCTGCTGACAACGGACCTGTTGCTGCCTTTTAGAAAACTAAGTCATTTTCATTGTAAATAGAGTAGTTTTATTTCAAGTACTTCCATTATGTTTCTCTAGCGTATTCAAGTCTAATCTTGTAGTTTTGGATTATTTTTTTAAGCATTATTAGGGGGGATCAAGCAATCAAAACTTTCTAGCAAGCAAGCAATTCTCTGTACCGGTGTCTCTCCCCCTCGACACCGCGTTGCTTTTCTGTAATAGCTTTCATTAATGAAATCAAGATTTCTTTCATTCTCAATTCTCATTTCTGTTCTCTCAATTGCTCTTGACATTGGTTTTCCCGTACGGCATTGACAATCTCGTCTAGCGAACGGAGGGGACCTCAGTTGGCAGAGACAACAGCTGCACTGACATCAGTTGCTTAGCCTTACGTCGCCCTTCCAAGGAATCTCAGGAAGGTGCCACGTAACAGTTGGTATCAGAGCCTAGGCTCGACATCGGACGAGGGAACGTATTGACATTACCATAATTTCTGACCATGGTGAATCATGGTACGGCCTATTGTGGATACGGTGCCTGAACTAAGAACCAGCCTAGTGCAAAGGTTGGACGACCTGGACCGCAGGGTGCTCCAGGCCGAAGTTGACATTGAAAACATCAGTCGCGACTCCGACGGAGACCGGCAGACGGCAGCCATAGAGGCAGCCGAAATTTTTGGGAAATTCGAGGGGCTCCAACAGGAGCGCACCGAGGATTTAGCCTACAGGGTACAAGAGGCACACAGGATGACTGCCATGCAACAAACTATTGACAAATTGACAGACCAGCTCAATGTTGTCAACGCTGCTTTACAGGGCCTACTCCGAGGAGGTGGAAACCAAATCGGGGGCGCTGTGAACCCCACTTCCGCGACACAGAAACTGAAAATTCCTGAGCCAAAGCCATACAGTGGAGCTAGGAATGCCAAGGAAGTTGAGAACTTCATCTTTGACGTCGAACAGTATTTCGATGCTGATGGGGGCCTGGAGGAAGCTAAGAAGGTAGCAACTGCTGCCATGTATCTTCAGGGTGATGCTAAACTTTGGTGGCGGGTGAAGTACGAAGCCATCAAGGCCGGTGAAGATGCTCTCGAGACATGGGCAGAACTGAAGGCAGCCATACGCCTACAGTTCTTTCCCAAAAATGTTGAATACAATGCAAGGAGAAAACTACGGGAGCTCCGCCAGACAAAATCAGTGCGGGACTACGTGAGGGAATTCTCCGCACTCATGCTAAGCATACGCGACATGGGGGGACATAGACAAGCTCTTCACCCTCCTGGAAGGGTTGAAACCTTATGCCGGCGTGGAGCTACAAAGACAAAGGGTAGACACCCTTCCCAAGGCGATCCAAGCAGCTGAATGCCTTGGGGACTATCAAATGGAAGCTCGGAAGGACAGGCCTCAGCATCCTGCCCGAGCGGGGTTCAAAGGGGGCCAGCCTAGCAATGGTGGCCCTAGCAAAAGTGGGGGAGATCGGAACTTAAACAAATCTAGAGCTCCTTCCTCAGGCAGCAACAGTGCTGCGTCAAACAACAATGACCGGGGGAGAAAGCCTCCTTCAAGATGTCGTCATTGCGGCGGACCACATTGGAACAATGAGTGACCATATGCACAGATGAACGCCCATCAGGCTATTGATGATAGGACCGATGACGACTCAGACGATGACGACTCAGACGATGTTGGTTCCATTTCTTAGGCATTAGCAGAGACCAGTGCTGGTATCCGTAAGAAGAAGGACCCATGTCCAATCACCAAGAAAGGGAAAAAGAAGGCGAATGAAGAGACTCCTCTTAAACAAGAGAGGACCTTAATGTTCGTTGAGATGAAGGTGAATGGCAAGCCCATTCGGGCTATGATAGACACGGGTGCTACCCACAACTACTTAGCCTCGACTCAGGTGGAGCACCTTGGACTAGTTGTAGGGAAAGGTAAAGGTTGTGTCAAGGCTATCAACTCACCTCCCCAGCCAGTGGGTGGAATGGCTAAAGAAGTGCTGGTGAAGCTTGGCCCTTACGAAGGAAAATTCAACCTGCGAGTGGTGATCATAGATGACTTTGAGCTGATTGTTGGGCTGGAATTCCTAAGGCAAACCAACACCATGCCGGTACCATTTGCAGACATGCTACTGATGATAGGAACCAATAGGGCCAAGCCCTGCATTATCCCGTGCCTGCCCATGAAGATGGCCGTTGAGAACATCTCGGCCTTGCAGTTGAAGAAGGGGGTCAAAAGGAATGAACCTACGTTCCTGACAACCTCTGCATTGAAGATATAGAACGCTCCTCGGGTCCCATTCCTGAACCCGTGAAGGAGTTACTACTGGAGTTTGAAGATGTCATGCCACAAGACATGCCAAAGCGGCTCCCGCCTAGGCGCACTGTGGACCATGAAATTGAGTTGGTGCCGGGCGCGAAGCCACCTGCCCGGGCGCCTTACAGAATGCCACAACCCGAACTCACCGAGCTTCGGAGACAATTGACGGAAATGCTAGATACAGGGATCATTGTACCCTCAAAGTCCCCATATGGGTCCCCTGTTCTATTCCAAAAGAAACATGATGGCAGCCTGCGACTCTGTGTGGATTATCGAGCTCTAAACAAAATCACCGTGAAGAACAAGTACCCTATTCCTTTAATGGCAGACTTGTTCGATAGACTGGGTGGTGCGACGGTGTTCACCAAGATAGACCTCAAGACAGGTTACTGGCAAGTTCGGATCGCAGAAGGTGATGAACACAAGACGACCTGTGTAACAAGATATGGGTCGTACGACTTCCTGGTTATGCCGTTCGGCTTGACTAATGCTCCAGCTACATTTTGCACTCTGATGAACCAAGACTTCCGAGAGTATATTGACGAATTCGTGGTGGTCTACTTGGATGACATTGTGGTATATAGCCAAACATTGGAAGAACACCTAGTGCATTTGCGGAAGTTCCTGGCTCGTTTGCGGGAGCATGAACTATATGCGAAGCTATCCAAATGCTCCTTTGCTCAGAAGCAAATTGACTTCCTCGGACATGTCATCGAGGAAGGACGTATCAAGATGGACAACAGAAGATTCAGGCCATCACGGATTGGCCGCCGCCTAAGGATGTCCACGCCTTGAGGGCGTTCCTTGGCCTATGCAACTTCTACCGGCGGTTTGTGAAGAACTACTCCCTTATCGCAGTGCCATTGATAAAACTCCTCAAGAAGGTCACACCTTGGGATTGGGGACCAAGGAGAGCGGAGGCCTTCAACGCATTAAAAGCGGCTATGTCTAGTAGCCCCGTCTTGGCCCTCCCTGATTTGGCCAAGCCGTTCGAGGTACAAACGGATGCATCTGACTATGCCCTTGGTGGGGTCTTACTACAAGAAGGGCACCCTGTAGCGTATGAGAGTCGGAAGCTGAAGGATGCAGAGCGGCGCTATGCCGCCCATGAGAAAGAATTATTGGTTGTCGTCCATTGCTTGCGCCTTTGGAGGCACTATCTACTGGGAACCCCGTTCGTGGTCAAGACCGACAACACAGTTGTCGGCCATTTCATGACCCAGCCGAAGTTGAATGGTCGACAGGCCAAGTGGCGGGAACTCCTAGCTGAATTCCACTTCAACCTGGAGTACCGCAGTGGAAAGACCAATCATGTTGCTGATGCACTCAGTCGGAGAGCTGATCTAGCATCGGTGTGCCTACTCGCCACCCTAAGGGGGAGCGAAGTAGCCACCTCCATCAAAGACCAGATACAGGATCTACTCACCAAGGATCCTGCTGCTCAGTATTTGGTTGATTTGGTAGGACAGGGCAAGACTCGCCAGTTCTACATGGAAGATAGTTTTCTGAAAGTCAAAGGGAACCGACTTTATGATCCGAAAGGAGGAGATCTGCGGAGGACTCTTCATGATACTCTGTGGGCCGGTTATCCCAGTGAAGAACGCACCATGGCGTTACTTCGTCGTGCCTATTATTGGCCTCAAATGGCCGATGATGTCGCTCAGTATGTGAAGACTTGTCTAGTATGCCAGAAGGACAAGTCGGACCGCTTGACACAAGCGGGACTCTTGGAACCACTAGCTATCCCAAAGAGACCTTGGGAAAGCATCTCCCTGGATTTCATCACCGGATTGCCCAAGGTCGGAGATCTCACAACTATCTTGGTTGTGGTGGACCGGTTTTCCAAGTATGCCACCTTTATTGCAACCCAACAATATATATCAGCAGAAGATACAGCTCGACTCTTCTTCTCTCATGTCGTCAAATATTGGGGCCTGCCCAAAGACATTGTTAGTGATCGCGACTCACGCTTCACTAGCAACTTTTGGACCCAACTCTTTAAGTGCCTGGGGTCAAAATTGAGTCAGCTCAAGTTTTCATCCGCAATCTGATGGCCAGACGGAGCGGTTCAATGGTATGTTGGAGGAATATCTCCGCCACTTTCTAACCAGATCGCAGAAGAATTGGGTGAAGTTTCTGGATGCTGCTCAATTGTGTTTCAATTCACAAAAGAGCTCTATTACGAACAAAAGCGCTTTTGAAATTGTTACCCGACAGCAACCGTTACTCCCACACACTGTGAATGCACCAAACATGACTAAGTCTCCTCGAGCTGCTAGCTTCTCAAAAGAGTGGAAGCGGAATCTGGAGATAGTGCGGAGCTATCTTGTCAAAGCTCAAAAGCGGATGAAGAGGCATGCTGATCAGAATCGTCGCTTTGTTGAATATCAAGTAGGAGACAAAGTGAAGGTCAAAATTCCAAAGCGGTACTTATTTGCGGGAGTCCATGACCCTCGCCTATTACAAAAATACATTGGACCCTTGTCCATTGAAAGGCGCATTGGGAAAGTTGCATACCGGGTGGATACCCCAGCTTGGTGGAAAATTCATCCTGTCTTCCATGTCAGTCTCCTGAAACCTTTTCGGGAAGACACGGAGGATCCTTCAAGGAGCCAGCTTACAATACCCAGTATTCGAGGTCCCAATTCAACCGGGAAAAGGCGTGTTGAAGCTATCCTTGATGACAGAGTGATTCATGCCTCAAGGAAAGATCACCAAGAGTTCTTGGTGAAATGGCAGGGCTGTGATGCAGAAGAGAATACTTGGGAGAGGGGAACAAACCTCAAAGCCTACAAGAGCCTCATTGAAGATTATTTTGCAAGTAAGGCGCCAAGGACGTCGCCAACTCAGGTGGGGAGAATGTCATGGGCGGCTTTCCAGCCATTCCCCATAACCCCTTGGGCGCGCCCCGTGGCGTCCTAGCAAGTCTCCCAATGCCTAGCGCCACGGACGGCCCGTGGTCTTGGCCGCGCCAAGTGACAAGCGCGCAGGTGCCTCTGTCGCCCCACCGATATCCCTCGCCAGCGCCAAGCCGCAGGCAGATTCCAACAGCGCCGCGCGCGCAGATAACGCTGCGCGCGCAGACCGTGATGCCAAAGACAATGCTGCTGACAACGACCTGTTGCTGCCTTTTAGAAAACTAAATCATTTTCATTGTAAATAGAGTAGTTTTATTTCAAGTACTTCCATTATGTTTCTCTAGCGTATTCAAGTCTAGTCTTGTAGCTTTGGATTATTTTTTTTAAGCATTATTAGGGGGGATCAAGCAAGCAATTCCCTGTACTGGTGTCTCTCCCCCTCGACACCGCGTTGCTTTTCTGTAATAGCTTTCATTAATGCAATCAAGATTTCTTTCATTCTCAATTCTCATTTCTGTTCTCTCAATTGCTCTTGACATTGGTTTTCCCGTACGGCACTGACAATCTCGTCTAGCGTACGTAGGGGACCTCAGTTGGCGGACAGCAGCTGCACTGACATCAGTTGCTTAGCCTTACGTCGCCCTTCCAAGGAATCTCAGGAAGGTGCCGCGTAACAGATAGCATGCTCAAAGAACCGTGTACAAAGGACTAATCAGAAAGAATGCATGAAAAGAAAAGGCAATAATGCTACACTATTCAAAGAGTAAAAATCAGTTAGGTCTCTTATCCCTAAAGACAAAAAGAGGAGACAGAGTTTACTGTCCAACATGTGCACTGTTGCGCATGAAGAGATCTCAATTTCTTACAACCCGATCAATTAAAATAGTAATGATATTAGGCCATTTCTACCATCACGCGCTTTTTCCCGAAAAGAAAGCAAAACTTCTTAACCGTAAAATGCCCAGCACGAAAATAGTGTTGCTCAGTAAAAAATACTATATTCCGAGTTACAGAAATTGTTCAATTTCGCATGGAACTGATGAATACATCATGGCATCCCCTTTATATGTTGTAACCTATTTAACTGATAGGGGGGCAGTCAGTTGCATCTCCAACTACAAAACTTTTTGGCCTCGTATTATTGAAGAAACGCTACAGTTTCGACAGGTGAGGCAAAATCACATCTATTAACAGAATCACATCTATTAACAGATGAGGCAACAGAAATTTTGACTGATTGAAAGAAGTAAAGATAGTATTAAAGTGACTATAAGAGCCAAACCTTGATCTTCACAGGCTACACAGATTGAGTTATACGGTGTCACATAAGATAAATTACGATGCCTGTTCTCACAACTTCAGATTATCATAACTATAACTAGTATTACAAAAAAATAACATTTTCCCAGAAATTTACAAATTTCAGGAATTTTCAAAATTATCAAAATACCTCTAGCGCTGGAATTCCAGAACTTAACAATCTATGGAAAAAGAAAGGCACTAAATTACAATAGTAAACAATGAGTTACCAATATTTTTCTTGTATAAATTATTATGCATCCAAATTTTGGATTTTCTGTTTATCTCTTCGCTATTGTCTTCGTCATGGATAGCCTCAACCAGTTCTGCCCATAGCCTTCTTTAATCATTTTATACAGAACAGAATTCATTCAGCTCTGAAGCACATGAACTAGTATTTAAACTAAGCTCTCTCACTCATACACCTCTATTTCTAGAGTAAAGCAGAATGCTTAGAAAACCTTGAAAGCTTTTTGACTTTTACGTTCTCTGCTTTCTATTCAGCTTCTAAAATGATTTCACTGGTCTATTATGTTTAAACTTGTCTCATTTTATGTTTGCACACTCTTAGCACCATTCATTAGTTCTTAATATTCACAATGAAGGTACATAATTTACAAGGAAAAAGAAATGACAGGTGCAACAAAAACTCTACCTGGTATCAGACTTCTTCAGAAAACTTTCTGGATACTCCCGCCGATACTGCTGCCTCCAACGAAACCTATAATTGCATTTAATAAAAATATTACTGCAAGCAACTAAACACTGATTAAGCTTTAAGAATTATCTACATTGCCATTCACCAACTCTTGTCCAAGAAACTTTGCTCTTTTTTGCCTTTCATCTCCTTTTGCCTTAGTCACCAACCCAACTTATGACCTCATCATTCTCAGCTTTATTGTACATACTAGTATATCCTAGCATTAGAAGGCACAAAAAAAGTTTGAACAAAAGAGGCTCTATTCTTTCTTGGATATACTTCCTCACACTTACAAATCACAAGAATGGAATAGCTATTTAAGGTTGTTTTCACTTCCAGTTAGCGCTAAAACCGTTATAGAAGATTCATAAGGTTGACTTGACTAGTTTCGAATTGAGGCATGATTGTTCCATTTAAAAAAAAAAAAACAAAAAAAGAGGGATGATTTTGTTCTTGTTCTTGTTGTTGTTGGAAGCACTATTTTGCAAAGCACATATACCAAACTACGCCTTAGTCCTCAATTAACAGTCGTATCTTTTTGGAGGGTGAAGAAAAATCTACACTTATAAATGTTTTGTAAGCTTACGAACTTGAAAGACTTCTCTTTAGAGCATCTACATGATTTAAGATTGATGGTACACCCGTATAGTTAGTGAATTTATTGCTCTAAGAAATAACTCACAGTAATTGGATTGCATAAAGCGAAAAAGCTTAACTCTTATAGGCAATGAATATAAAACATTTCAATTTCCTATACAACTGAATTGACAAAAATGAGACTAAGAAACACACAATCACACACACATAGGAAGGAAAAAACTTACGAAAATTCTTGAAAAGCATATACAGTTGGATCGATTTTGGGAACAACAACTGGTAATCTCTCGAACAACACAGAAGCCACAATTTTATCATTGTTCAACGAAGAAAACCACCGCTTACATGTCATAGATCTACCCGCAGACGTACACCACCTCAGCATTTTCAAAACCCTAAAATGCAAATTCCACAGCTCTTTAGAATGTTTATTCTCAAAAAAACAAAGTAGTAATAACAATCTCCCTGTACAATTTGCATGTAGTGTAAGCTCAGTAAAAAGTGAAACCTGAACGTTGAACTTAGGACGTTGCAATAAAACGAAGAAATGTCCAACTAGGGTTTCCTTTTGGGGAGAAGGTTAATCAAAACGAGATTATAACTAGTCATAAACCATCACAGATTCACAGCATTAATTGAATCGCTTAATCATTATTTACAAAAAAAAAAAAAAAAAAGATGGTAAGACTAAGAGAACGAACTTTTTTCGTTTCCGATGGCCGGAAGTCGGCAAATCTGTGGAGGACGGCGACAGAGAGCAGGCGGCGAGCGCGAGAGGAAGGAGGGAGTAGGGGCTGTAGCGAATGGTACCCTGAGTTACCGAAGCAGTGTGTTAACAGAGTTCCCATCTTTTACAGTTTAGTCTCAATTTTCTGTTTTTATCTTTTTAGCACCCAAATTAGTTAGTTATTAATCATGGAATTTGATCAACTTTACAAAAAAATAAAGAAAAATTTTCAAGTTCCGAACATAGTTTAGGCTAGTTTTTTGTTGAATACTTTTCTTTTGCTCACAAAACTTTAACTTTCTTTCAAGTAAAACGCATGTCCAAACACAATTTTAATTTCCAAAAACTATTTTTAAGTAAAATATCAAGAAGTCTTTTCTCAAGTTTTAACTAAATTTATGCTCAAGCGCCAACTAAATACTCTCTTCATCTCTCCCAATTTAAGTGATTCATTTTAACTAGACATGAGACTTAAGAAACAACAAAAAACTTTTAAAATTAAATTTCTTCTAAATAAAATAGTATAACATCCTTTCTAGGTCAAATTAAAAAGAAAATTATGACAAGCAACCTTAAATAGAAATAATATTCATATAATTTTGATCTAGAAATGATAACATCATCATTAAGATATATAGAATATATTAGATAATCAGAACTAAAGGAATAAATGATTGTCTGATGGACTTAAAAGTAAAGGTGTTAAACAGGCCAGGCCAGCCCACTAATAATCCGGTTTGGCCTGGTTCAGTCTGATCCGATAAGGAGTGGGATGGGTTGGCTAGGGTAGGGGGTTGTGCCGGACGGGGTTGGGTCTTTTTTGGCTACGGTGCACCGAAACCTAGCTAGCTCGGTAACCCGTTCATGGGTTTTTATCGAGTTCCAGCCCGTTATCATTTTTTTTTATAGTTTTGACGGTTGCCGACGGTCAAAATAAAAAATGACTGTTAGGAAACGGGTCATTTTTTGTACTTTTAGTCATTTCGGCCTAGCCCTTATTAAAGTAGCCCCCACCCCTAGTAATTGATAAATTATAATTTTGGCTTAATACATAGATGGTGTCACGACCCAAATTCTAACCTGTCGTGATGGCGCCCATCGTGGTACTAGGCAAGCCGACATTCTCAAAATACTTCCAACATTTAAGACAAATGAATTAAGAAATTTTAAATAACAGGAGTTTTTCATAAAAACGGGGTAAAACCTAAAACCCAAGTGCGGAAAATAGCTCCCAAATCAGGGTGTCACTGAGCTCATGAGCATTTATACAATACCAGTCTAGAAAAGAAATGTCTACGAGAGTCTGTATCAAAATACAAGTAAAGAAAAGATCAAGAAGGAGAAACAAGGACCGCGAACGCCGGCCAGCTACTCATGAATCTTGGAAAATCAACCATGTACGATATCAATGTCCACCGTGTCCGAAAATACCTGGATCTGCACACGAAGTGCGGGGTGTAGTGCGAGTCCAACCAACTCAGTAAGTAACAATAATAAATAAGGAGCTGAAAGATAGTGACGAGCTACACAATTATAGTTCATTTTCAGTAATCTCAACAAGAAAGTAGACATGCTTTCAAATCTGGTAATTTGAGTCAAATCAATTTAGAAGTTTCAAAATAGCGACATATAGCAGCTATGCGCAACAACAATGAAAGCAAATACAGCCTCTCAGGGCAACCGTCACTCAGTCTTTCTCAATAGCTCATCACTCGGCTCTCAGCCCTAAACACTCACACTCAATAGGTACCTGCGCTCACTAGGGTGTACATACTCCGGAAGGGCTCCTTCAATCCAAGCTTTATATCGCTGCGGCGTGCAGCCCGATCCCATAATATATAAATAGCCATAAGGCTCGTTGCGGTGTGCAACACAATTATAATATATATATATATATATATATATATATATATATATATATATATATATATATATATATAGAGAGAGAGAGAGAGAGAGAGAGCCCTAAGGCTCGTTGCGGAGTGCAACCCGATCCATACATATACATATAGCCCTCAGGCATCGTTGCGGCGTGCAACTTCATCCATAGCCTAAGCATGATTTCTAATATGATTTGCAGTCAAATTTCTATAACACGGGGAGAGCATATAGTTAACAACAAGTTACTCAACTTTATAGTTCCACTAAATGGACCAAGTCCCAATTCCTATGGTGCACGCCCACACGCCCGTCACCTAGCATGTGTGTCACCTCCAAACCAATCATATATCATAAGATCCGGGGTTTCATACCCTCATGACCAGATTATTGTTACTTACCTCAATCCGAGCAAAATTTTACTCCAAAATGCCTTTGCCTCTCAAGTCAACCTCCAAATGTCCCGGATCTAGCCACAACAGTATACAATCAAAACGGGCTAAAGGAATCAATTCTACAAGAAATTACGAAATAATAGCTCAAAATTCGAAATGGCTCAAAATCGGCCCCATGGCCCATGTCTCGAAATCTGACAAAAGTCACAAAACCCGAAAGCTCATTCACTCATGAGTCTAACTATACCAAATTTACCAAAATCCGACACCAAATAGCCATTCAAATCCCCAAAATTAACTCTCCAAATCACTAGCTTCTGCGGAATTCACTTGGATGCTTTAAAATCAAAAATAGTTGGATGCTTTAAAATCAGTAGACGTTTTACTAAATGAGTGACCAAAATTAACTCTCCACATCCCTAGCTTCTGCAGAATTCACTTAGCCCTCAGCTGCCTTCGCTTCTGCGGTTCCTAGCCCGTATCTACGCAATCGCAGGTGCGGGAAAAATCATCACACCTGTCAAGACCCAACCTATGGACCGCAACGGGCACCCGGTACGTTACTCAACCGAGTACCAGTATACATATCTTTCTTATCGTACTCTCATTTGCAAATGGGCCAAGCGGGCCATCATGGGCTAACTAGAATAAACATAAGGGAATACTCAATATAGGATGACCCAACCTAATATAAAAACTTATACATGTGACATACGGGCCTATAAGGCCAACATGATCATTTGTAAACTAAACATAGCCGACAAGGCCATACAAGTATTCGTATACATGACATATGTCTACAAGCCTCTAAGAGTACATAAGTATCATAAAGGTCGGGACTGAGCCCCGCCATACCAGTCAATACATGTCCTAATTATACTGACCAAATAAGCATCTCCGGAGCAAATGGAGTGCACCAATGTGACGACCAGACCAGTCGTCTCATGAGTTACCACTCCGTTTCCCCCATTTCTGCTTCTTTATCCGTGTTTTATGTGGTCGAGTTGATTGGTTTGTGGTTGGAGTGGATTTAGGAAGGAAATGAGACACTTAGTCTCTTTTAAGAAGGCTTAAGTTGGAAAAGTCAACCGGATGTTGACTTATGTGCTAGAGGGCTTGGATATGAGTTTCGGTGGTTCGGTTAGCTTCGGGTGGTGATTTGTGACTTAGGAGTGTGATCGAAAGTGGTTTTGGAAGCCCGGTGTAGAATTAGGCTTGAATTGGCGAAGTTAGTATTGGCGAATTCCGGTTGATAGGTGAGATTTTGATCCGAGGGTCGGAATGGGATTCCGAGAGTTGCTGTAGCTTCGTTGTGTGATTTGGGATGTGTGTGCAAAATTTCAGGGCATTTGGATGTGGTTTGGTTGGGTTTTTTATCAAAAGCGTGTTTCGGAAGTTTTTAGGAAACTTAGGCTTGAATTCGATGTGAATTGATAGATTTAGTGTTGTTTGAGGTGTTTTGATGATTGGAACAAGTTTGAATGAGATTTTAGGAGGTGTTGGTGCTTTTGGTTGAGGTCCCGGGGGCCTCGGAGTGGTTTCGGATGGCTAACGGGAAGAGTTTTGGACTTGTGCAATTGCAGATCATATGCTGCTTCTGGTGTTTTCGCACCTGCGGCTTGGGAACCGCAGGTGCGGTGCCGCACGTGCGAGAGGAAGGCCGCAGATGCGAAGTTTGGCCTGGGGAGCAGTTTCCGCAGAAGCGGTCAATGGGGCCGCATCTGCGAAGCCGCAGATACGGAAATTCTGTCGCAGAAGCGACTTTTGGATTTAAATGAGAAACCGCAGGAGCGGTTGGTTGGAAGCAAATGCGGTACCGCAGGTGCGGTAAAAGGGGTCGCAGATGCGAAAACCCCTGGGCAGAAGGTATAAATGGTTCTTCTTCGCGATTTTTGAAGGGTTTATTCATTTTTAACTTCGGACCTAGAGTTTTTGGACGATTTTGAAGAGAAATTTCAAGGGAACTTCGTTAAGGTAAGGATTTTGGACCTAAAACACAATTCTATGGTGATATTTCATGAATTAGGACTGAAAATTAAGGGATTTGTGGACTAAAAATGGAGGTTTAGGGCTTGAGTTTAATAGAGTTTAAATTGGGGATTTGAGGGGTCAATTGAACTCCGATTCTTGTGTTTTTGATATGTATGAACTCGTGGGGAGATAAGGAATCTAATGATGTAAAAAATTTTGAATTTCGAGAAGTGGGCCCGGGGCTCGGGTTTTGCTAATTTCGGAATTTTTGATATTTTTCGATTGTTTTCGCTTGGGTTTTGTTTCCTTAGCCTATTGTGACGTATTCGTTCTAGTTTTGGTCAGATTCGACGCGCGAGGAGGCCGATTTAAGAGGCAAGGGCATAGCGAGCTAGAGCTTTAGCCGGTTCGAGGTGAGTAATGAATGTAAATGATGTCGTGAGGGTTTGAAACCCCGGATTTGCACATCGTAGTGCTATATTGAGGTAAGACACGCGCTTGATGATGAGCGTGGGGTCATTTTCTATTGGGGATTGTGACTGGGTCCGTCCCGAGCGATGCTTTTACCGCATATTTGATTGAAGCTTAATTGATATCATCATTATCTGGATTGATTGCCATATATGGGCTTTGTGCCAACTATTTGAACCCTTCGGGGAGTTTTTATCACTATTTCCTCACCGTTTTGATTTACTACTTGAACTCAGTCGTACCGTTTTCTACTGTTTTACAACTCAGCAACTTTTACTCAGTTTTTGAAACTAAAATGATATGTTAAATGATGGTTTGGGCTGAGAACTACTGTTTTACTAATGCCCGAGGGGCTTATATGATGTCTGGACTGAGTATGGCCAAGGGCCAGATGT